CAGCATTTCTCAAATTGGGGGTCCAGACCCAAAAGGGAGTGAGTGTGTGTGTGTGTGTGTGTGTGGGTGTGGGTGTAAACAAGGTTATTTTAGAGGGGTCATGGTATTGCCACCTTTACTTCTGTGCTGCCTTCAGAGCTGGGCAACCAGAGGGCAGCTTTTGGCCGGGCACCCAGCTCTGAAGGCAGCACTCCGCCAGCAGCAGTGCAGAAGTAAAGAGTGGCAATACCACGCCTTGCCATCCTTACTTCTGCGTTGCTACCTTCAGAGTTGGGTGGCCAGATGGTGGCGGATGCTGACTGAGGGCCCAGCTTTGCAAGCAGCAGCACAGATGTAAGGGTGCCAATACTATACCATTAATTCCTTACTTCTGGGCTGCTGCTGACGGCAGCGCTGCCTTCAGAGCTTGGCTCCCGACCAGCAGCTGCCGCTCTCCAGCTGCCCAGCTCTGAAGGCAGCGCCACCAGCAGCAGCAGTGCAGAAGTAGGGGTTGTGGTACTGCTACCTTCTTACAATAACCTTGTGAACCCTCCCTCTCCTCGCGTTAATAACTCCTTTTAGGGTCAGGACCCTACAATTATAACAGCGGTGACATTTCAGATTTAAATAGCTGAAATCATGAAATTTACAATTTTTAAAAATCCTATGGCTGTGAAATTGACCAAAATGGACTGTGAATTTGGTAGGGCCCTAAGAATGAGATAAGCCACCCTGTTACATGCACCCTCCAACTCCTTTACATCTAGAATACTGGTCAATTGTTTGTCATGATTTTCTTTTATCTCAGCATAGATTAATATACTGCCCATAAATATACCACCTCTTTGTCCTCTAAGTTGTTCTCTCATTTTCTGTTGTGGATTGGAGATTTCTTTGTGATGTCAAATGGCAATCTGTAGTAACAGTACTGTGAGAGTGAAGAAATAAATGTGTTCATTGTGTCAGTGTCTGGAGGCAGGGTCCTCTGCCTAAAACTGACTTCCAGCATGAAGTAATGAATAGAGGTTGATTCCATTCAATCTAGGAATAATATCTTCCATAGTAAAGAAAGCAAATTTGTCTTTAGGCAGATTTCTCTAACTTTGATATGCTGAGCCATAAGTGCACTTTCAAAATATTTTTAAAGGAGAAAGTTAGAAAGGGTATAAATTATTAATAATACCTAGCTCTTATATATAGTCATCATTTGTACTAGAGTATAATTCATACTGCTCTATTGTAATAAAACCAAATATCATTAATACACCGTATAGTGTATTTTAATTTTCATTCACTCTTTGACTACAACCTTTCACGGAGCAATGTTTAGCATTTGGTGTCAAAAATTTAACAGCAACAAGTTCATTTTCACAAACACTAGGGGAATATATACGCTTAGTCTAGACTAAAACAAGGCATCAAAAACCCTGTATTGCTAAACCTCCTCTCTGATGAATGGCACACCAGTTAATGGACTTATATGTAATAAGAAAATGTAATATATTTAAATGTATGTAATGAAAAACATAAACCAGCAAGTTAGTTGAGTGAAAATGACTCTCACAAAACTAAGGGAGATCTATCATCATCTGCCCTCATTGGGACTCATTTTGAATTAAAATATGGAAAGAGAACATAATGTGTGTAATTTATTAGTTCAGCCCAGATCCTTTCCTTTTTGTAATCACTTCTGTACATGCGCACCCCCTCAAACTCATGCCTAGTAAGTTGCTGTGTACACCATATTCTAGGAAAAGATATACGACTTGTAATATAGAGGAGCATTCATTAAGAGTGAATGTAAATATACTGTTGCATTTTCCTAATCAGCCAGAAGACGGCTATAGAGTTCCCAAGAGCCAATTTTTCTCCTGTTCAGTAAAGCGTTCTGGTTTTCATGCACCAGGGCTCCGTCCAAAATCTGAGAGTAATAGTTCCAGTGTTAACAGAATAACCTGATCAACCGCTCTGACAGGGAAGTGATATGAAATCTCAGATTCAGAGCCTGAAAAGAAAGAATAGACTTCCCAATTTTGTTTAATTTACTAGAGTCTTATATGTTCCATTGAGTCACTTCACCCACAAGACATTACCACAATTTTATTTTCCCCAGTAAGAATCCAATAACCTTAAGACACTTTGAATTGAAAGTCTGACGCTATGTGTCTCTGTTCCTTTTATTATTAATCACAATTATTTTTTGTGTTTCTATACTTCCATCTTGAATGATACTCAAGTGCTTTACAAACTATAACCATGCAACACCACTGAAACACCTCCAAAGTGCAATGCAGCAATTTGCCAGTGTATAGTATGCTGTCCAGCAAGGTGGGAGGGAGACATTTTGGATAAATCCCATTCCTGAGAAAAGTGCTTTAATCTTTACTATCCTTGCTGAGCAGACAGGACCATCTTTAAGTGTCCAGTCCAAAAGATGAGTTTGAGAAATAAAATTAATTAAGTCCCCAAAGAAAGAATACTTGTCTAACTATTCTGGAGATTGGTCCTGCAGCCACTGTATGTGCCAATTTCCAAAGAGCCATCACAGAATCCATGGATTTCAGGGCAGATCTGCACCTGAGTAGGTTAGATCAAACTGTTGCTAACCTACACCAGCTGGCAACAATCCAGAAATAACACCCCTTACACCAGGGCTGGGAGGTGGGGTCGCCCAGGAGCCATATTCTGATTTCCTGGCTCTGTACCAGCACTCCCACACAAGGAAAATTCCTATTCTGCAAAGGGCTGTAACTCAAAAATGAATGTGGTCCAGTAACTTATAGTAGGTTAGAATAAAATGCCAAATAGTAAAGGTAAAGGTAATTAAAAATTTAAAGAGCGTAGGAAAAGGATACTTACAACTGAGGCCACAGTTATCTCAGTGTAAGGAAAGCCCTAATTTAAGAACTGAATAGAAATAATTATGTGCAGATTCCTCCTTTTTCAATCTTAGCAAATATCATTTTCTTTTATTACTCATACATCACACTAAAAGTAAACAGATTCTATAAGCAAAGGCATTATATCATGTAGCAGCTGCAGTATTGAGATAGCTTTATCTTCTTTACAGGTTCGACTGAACTTATCTAAAAATGTCAATCTCAAATTAAATCACAAACATTGATCTCAAGCAAGAACAACATGATTGGAAAGTTCACGTTGAACAGAAAAAAGGAGAAACCATCCCAGAATACTGATGGCTAGTACTGTAGTTCAGGTTTCAGAGTAACAGCCGTGTTAGTCTGTATTCACAAAAGAAAAGGAGTACTTGGTTAGTCTCTAAGGTGCCACAAGTACTCCTTTTCTTTTTACTGTAGTTCAATTAGCAGACCACAGTACACTGGCATTTAGGACAAGATGTGTAACTGATCGTGGGTAAGTCACCTTTAATGACTACAGCATGTTTCAGACCAACAACTGTTCCTCACTTAAAGAAGTGCTACATCTTAAGCATGTAACCAGTGTGACATTACTGAAAAATCTAGCTGCATTCCACACAATTGTGTGTTTTCAGTTAGACGGTCAGAAATATCTGGTTTTAATGGGCATATTCAATGTTCTCTCAGAGGCATTTGGTGCATTACTTCCCACTCTCAGATGTGCACTGTGTATGCTGTAGAGAGGATAATGATGTGTCTGTGAAATCTCTCTCTCTTGCATTTCAGAGTGTTCTCGGGGTATTTAAGTAGTTCATGACACATACTCCCAACACAGCAGGAACACATGTGCACATCAGCTCTTCCCTGGGAGAGGTATCGGGAAGCACTGCGTCCTCACTGTTGATGACTATCTTCTCCAGAGTCACCCCCTGCTTTGGGAATGTTGGTCAGTATGGATAAGGTATCTGTGGAGTTTATTATTAATTATTATTAAAGCACAGCCTCTAAATCTGGATCCCAGGCATTATGGAACTGTTTCTTACTTCTGTCTCCCATATACACATCAGACAACTGGCCCCGCCCTGCACTCTTTCCTATTTACCTCTACAGCACAGCAGGTAGCTGGGAAAGAGCAAAGAGTAGTCGTTGCCACACAGCACCAGTGGCTTCCTACAGCAGCTTCAGATTTCTTTCCTCCTCATTCATGGCTAATAGCCATAGTGATTTGTAGGATAGAAGGGGACAGGGATCTGTGTTGCTTCTCCTTCCAAAAGCCAGACAAGACCTTCACTCTTAGGACACACCTGCATCAAACCGCAGAAACTTCTGGAAAGCTTTGACTTTTGGGGCCATAAAGAACTGTGCTATGGAACATCCTATATGAGTTTCCATGAGGACATGTGGTTCCCAACACCCTCAGCCCTTAAGTTATCACTCTTTAAAATAAGTCAGCTTTCACACATTGGCAATTTGCTTTCTCCCTAGTTAAGACTTGGCGTAGTTCAACTGTTGGACTGGCACTACTGGTCCAATTAACTGGTTAATTGATTGTTAAAATTATTAGTTTTTCCTGTGATTATATTTAAGTTCTAGAATTCTAGACACATTGGGTTAATTTGTTTTTCCACCATAATGGCAAACCCCAGGGAAAAGAATCAATTTAAGACCTGCCTTTTTTGTGTGGGAAATATATCTGCAATAGCACCCCCTCCCCCAAAAAAACTCTGATGTCTTTTACTAATGGACAATAAATGCTCCATTTGCCTTGGTTTTACCTCTTGGCCCCATCAGGACAAAATTTTCTTTGTAGCCCACCGTTTACACCTTCTCTAAAAAAAAATACTTTTTTTCCAGTTTAAACCGATATCGTTTACAATTCTTAATCTAGTTTATGTAAGTAAGTGATTGTTTATTGGGATAAAAGCCATGAAATGGCTTGTTTTCTTTAATTAAAAGTTTTATTTTAAGTGAACAGTGTCCCTGATCTCCCTTCACTTACCCAGTGTAACTTTGTTGACTTCAGTGGAGTTACTCCTAAATGACACCAGTGTAAAAGAAATACCACCACCTTTTGTACATATTTATAATATATTCGTAAGTTCAATATTCTACAGTCACATTAAAAAATTAAAAGCAACTTACTCTGAGAGAGATTCTCAAGGGCTTTCCCCAGCTTCTTACTTTCCTGAAGAATATGATTTAATTCATCAAACTCATGGCTCTCCGGTTTTGTCCGCCAGTCCCATTTAGGATGCTCTATTGACCTTGGCACTAAAGTAAAATTATATATAAAGATTAGATTTCATAATTCAGAAAGCTACAGCAGCAATAAGCTGTGCAATGAGTCTACAAGATCAAGAATGCTCATAATGTTGAAGTCAGTTTTCCCCTTCCTATAACACTAACTGGATATATTTTTATTTCAGTTAGTGGGGAAGTTCCAAAGGGGAGGGGGAGGGAAGGGTCCTGAGGCAGGATTTCCAAATGACCTTTGTTACCAAATCAACTAACTACAAGGAACAGCTAACAGTGAATTCTCAGACCAAAAAAAAAAAAAACAACGTACACATTGGTCTGCAAGTGAAACCACTACATGGTAAATGAAACGTGTGCCTATTGGCCAATAAAAGGAAAGACGACAAAATGGAAATAAAGAACTACTATTTCTGTTTTTATTATTAGTTTTACCATAAACAAAACATGTTTTATTTATATAAATACTCCTGCCATTGTCTCAATTCAGTATACGCAAAAGCAAAAGAAATAATTGCATCCGATGAAGTGAGCTGTGGCTCACGAAAGCTTATGCTCAAATAAATTGGTTAGTCTCTAAGGTGCCACAAGTACTCCTTTTCTTTTTGCGAATACAGACTAACAGGGCTGCTACTCTGAAACTGAACAAAATAGGTCTCTATTACATACCAGGTAAAAGGCTTTGTAAGCATATGAGCTTTTACTCTGTTCCCTTAGGGCTTCTTGGGAAGCATACTCTTCTGTTGAGTCTGCATTACAACACACAAGAGATTTTATCTTAAGAGAACATTAGCTCAACTCTAAAGATGACCTCAACTGCTATGCCAGAGGCTAGAAAGCTCCCTCATGTCAAAAGCTATGTAAGTGGATTGCTGCATTCTGCATCAAGCTGCAACTCCCGAGTTAATACACACTGCAGTAACACTATATGGAATTGACAAAATTCTGGGTGATGCTAGTAACATTCCTTTCAAAAAGAAATAGCCAATGTCACTGCCCCCCATTCAAATGAAAATAATTTATAAAAAAATAAGAACATGACTACTGCTTCACCTCATTTAAACAGCTTTGACATCTTCCTTTTTGATTTCACTAACTCTCAACTCCCTTTATTTACAAACTACATGCACCAAATACATAAAAACAATTTACAGACTTCTATATCTTGTGCAGCATAAACTGGCACTTGAAATGATATGGAATTGCTGGGTTCCTGGTTAAAAAGAGTTATTCAAACCGATGAACATAAAGAAAGCTAAGGAGTACTTGTGGCACCTTAGAGACTAACACATTTATTTGAGCATAAGCTTTCGTGAGCTACAGCTCACTTCATTGGATCTAATTCTTTCCTCACTATGAGGATGTAGCTCATTAGTGTCAATACGAATCACATACACAACAATTAAAGACCTTTTTATATTTGTTTTTGTTGCTTTAGTCATCCTTTTAATTACTGCATTTATTTTAGTGCTCTCCCATTCCCTATATTAAGATTTTTTAATGTTTATTAAAAGTCTTATTTCTTATTTTTATACTACTCTGAATAACTGTCTTCCTTATTAGCCCTAACCAGAATCGATTTTTCCTCAGATGCACTGCAGAAAAAATAGAAATACTGATTATTTCCCACAGATTCTAGAATAGAAAGCAAAAGTCCATTGTCTTTTCTGAAGTTAAAAATCACGTGTTGCTTCTTCTACTAATTTCCCTCTTAAGCATTTATTAACTTTTGATATTACAATAAATTAGCAGAAGAAACTAGATCATCCATGCCTTTGAATTTGGGTCTTGGCTTATTTTTCCACAATTAGGTAGTCTCTTGTACAGGTTTCACTGCATATCATTTCTGTTCGTTTCTGTTCACTTCTCACTTCAGATTTAGTATAGCCCCTAAGTACTATTCCTACCCTTCTCCTGTTTATGCTTAATCATTCATCAAAATGTTTCCGTATTTTAAATCCCCATCATATTACCTGAATCAGCCTTGTGTGTTATTCAGATCTATAAACAATCTTTACCTTGAAAGGATGCACCTAAAATTTATGACATTCATAGCATTTTCGTATGGAAGTCAGTTAGCTTTTCCCTTTTTATAAAGTTGAGATTTCATATTAGAAATCTCATTCTACATCTCAGAAAGCTGCCCCTTTGCCACCAGCTTCCATTCTCTCTCTCTCTCTCTCTCTCCCTCCCTCTCCCCCCCCTTTTCCCTCCCAACATCTACAACAGACACATCCAGTCTCTTAGTTAAACCTTTGTTCCTATAAAGAATAATCAGTTTTCTATAGGGAGATTATTTTGTTTTTTAAAGAGACACAACTGTCTTTTCAAAGATCAGACTTGCTGGTGAATCAGACCATCGGCTCATTAAATCTTCTAGCAATAGTTTGGGGAATGCAACTCCCACCACCATAAGGCATGTGCACACACACCCATGGTGGTGGTGGAAAATTCCTAGGCAATCATTGAAACACTCTGTGGCAGCCAGTTTATGCTTGAAGTGAGGTAGCATATACTTCTTAGTGTGCATAACTAAAGACATCATTATTGGTCATAAAATTAGCCATCCCCTTATTAAAGCCAACAACATCTATCTTTTAGTTCCCTGTGGCAAAAAGTGCTAACATGATCCCTGGATGTATAACAGAGGAACACTAAGCAGGAATAAGGAGATATTACATCTGCATAGGACATTGGTGAGATCACTGCTGAAATGCAGTCTCTACACTTTCGAAAGGATGTTAAGGAGACGGTTTAGAGCATAGGTACTGGAACTAGCAGTGCGAGGGGTGCTGCAGCACCCCCTATTTGAAGTGGTTTCCATCATATACAGGGTTTACAGTTTGGTTCAATGGCTCTCAGCACCCCCACTTCCAAAACTGTTCCAGTATCCCCCGGTTCAGAGAAGAGCTATAGGCATGATTTGTCATCTGAAAAAAACTAGTCCTTGCTATGATGTTAAAGGAGCTCAATCTATTTAGTTTATCAAATAAAAGATTAAGAGGCAAATTGATCACAGTCTTTGATACAAGCATTCTATAAACATAAATAGATAACATTTAATCTAGCAGTCAAAGGCCTTACAAGATCGAATGGGGAGAAACTGGAGTCAGCAAATTCCAGTTGGAAATAAGAAAATTTTTAAGCAGCAGGAATAATTAATCATTGGAAAAAGCTTATTGGGAAATGTTGTAAATTCTCCATCAATTGGAGCTTTTAAATCACGAAAATGTAAACTGCCATTCAACCACAAGTTATGGTCTTGATGTGGGAATCACTGAGTGAAATTATATGGCCTAAATTACACAAGAAGTCAGACTAGGTAATGATAAAAAAAAATTAAGGACAAAGACTCAATGAGCTGTAATATTCAATTGATTTAATCACTTTGAAACTTATTTTGGGACTATAAATATTATAAAACAGAATTTTTCTCCAAGTGAAGATTAAGATGCTGGGACACGATGATGTACTATCATGATTTATTAAAGCGGAAGTAACAAAAGAACTATGAGCACAGTTGAGAGAATAGAATAAATCAAGGATTAAATATTTCAGGCAGGCAAACAATTGATGCAGTGGCTTTCAGAAGTCTTGGTTACTCTGGGACTTAAACTTACTACAGAAATCATTTCTGAAAGAGTTACAGAAGGAAGGAGTTTCTGTAGTTAGTCTACTAGTATGGCTTTTATGGCACACAGTATATGCGAATCTCATTTCAGATGTAGTTTTTAAAAGGTGTGGGAGAAATTTCAGACCTCCAATATGGATAACATAAAATCATAAAAAGACCTTTTCATTACTTGAGCTAAGATACCATTCCAGAACCTGGACTTTATACTTCATAATATTGAATCCCCATCACCAGTTTTAAGATTTGTAGAGTCCTGGAAGAGGGCATAAATATTTCAGAGTAAAATACAGGAATTCAGCACAAATATTGTTGGAAAGATCACCAGATGGGTAAAATAAGGACTGAAATCTGTAGTGGTAGATGTGGTAATTCTTTAAAAGTCTATTAAAAATATTATTAGCTATATCAGCTGGCCTACTGTCTTTAATTAAGGTCTACCATCAGCCCATCCTCTTGGGGCACCCTGCATTATTCCTGGTCCTTGAAGCATCAGGACGGCAAGGCCTGTGACTGTCTCCCTCTCAATCTCTACAGCCAGCAGTCTTTGAGGCACAGCAATCTTCTTCCTGTTCACCACCCTTTCCTATGGCAGGTTCTCTCTTTTTAAGCATCTCCACCCTGGCAGAGCAAGCTTTACAGGTGTGCCTTGTTAGAGCTGAATGAGGGTATGCCCCTTCACAACATCTATGGAACTGCACACAGTGAAACTTTTAGAAAGTACTGTGGCTATACATGTTATGTACCTTTCTTCTCTGCAATGGGAAAGGAAGTACCAGTTTTGATTATTCTGAGTCAAGATAGATGGACTTCTGATGTGTATTTCTATTCCTCTTGTTTGCAGTGTGGCTCCATCTTTACAATGCACTGAGCATTAAATCAAGTGGGCATTCCAGTGGTGGAGATTAGGCGACTAGCAGATTAATGGCTCAGAGAGGCCACCTTGCTGCTTATGTTGTATATCCCTAGGAAAATTGTAAAAAATCAGCTCTAGTGAGCACATCTTGTGTATAAACCTAAATATTCAGTTTCCACCAACTCCTTTCCCTACATTCATATTGAGATTGCAACAACTCTAGTACCACTGAGTTTCCTGTGGCAGATGCCTAAACAAATCCAGGGGGTGCCCAGAACACCACTTGGTTTCCCAATACTGATGACTTCTTAGGGTCTGTCAGCCTGATGTATGGCTGGGTTATATGGCAGCAAGAGGCTAGAGCATTCCTCACATCTAAATAGCTGAGGATCAGAATTAGGCCCCATTATTTTTTTCTGAAGTAGGAATCATACAATGACAGTGAACATGAAGTGCTCTGCCTAACTGTACATTTCTGCTCTTAGACAAACTTTAAACTAGTAATTTCTTTTTCTTTGTATACTTTTTTTCTTCTGAATTCTCACTCCTGATAGGGATAGTATTAATGTAGCTATGTTTATATTGATGGGCCTAAATTTACAATGTTATATACACATTTATAACCAGCTTTTTTCTCAATAGTGACCTAGTAGGAGTGCATCCTAGTCCCCCAAATACAGCTGGATGGCTTCATTGTGTTTTTGATCTTGGGAAATGTTGTGATTTATGAAGCATCTGTTTTACTTGTATGAAAACTTAGATTTCATTAAGTTCAAAATAAGTTTTATTTAATATTTGGTACCATACATGTGTGCATTGGCACTATTATACTTCATTAAAATTCCTTTATCACCATTTACCTTACAGGTCATTGTCAATACTCTTGTTCCTTTCCTTTAACATATAATTAGGCTTTCCCAGCAAGTCTCAAAATAGTCCTCCTATTTCCTGACACTACTTGTGTCTAAAACCAGATGTGTTTTCAATGAGTTGTTTGCATTTATTGATTTCATTGAAAAAACTACCTACATCTGCTATTATTAGCATTAAGAATATAGAGAATAGGTTTTGTGTATGTGTTGGCAATTGAAACATCAATCAAAATCAACATTTTAAAACATAAAACAGTACATAACATTCAAACTTATTTTTTTCTAAATTAATCCTATTCATATATGCTAGCACAATACTACTAACAGTCTATGGTGTGTATTAAAATATAACGAGAACTGAAGTCTATTACGACGTGTATCCAACCATTTCAACTGAAGGGACAGCCCTGTTTTGCATTTTATTTCAACCCTGAGTACAATCGGATGGTTGTATTAATTAATAAAGCATTGAAATTTGCTTACATGACTTGGATTCCAGTGATGGTGGAGAAATGTTGGACACAGCGAGGTCACTCTTTGACTTTTTAGGTTTCTTTGCATTTACCTGCCAGGGTTTATCATAACTTCTACAATCTCTTCTTGTTCCTTTGTTTTCTGTCGCAAAAATAAAATTTCAGGTGATTACATTTGCATGGTCACTTTTCAAGGTTATGTTACATGATAAACCCAGTTTGACAAGGCACCTCCTTCACCTTGTTAGCCTCAGCGTTTCTCTCTCTGGCGGTGGAGGCCTGGAGTGCAGCAATCCTACTGCAGGGGTTTTTAATTCTTTGCTTTGGTCTATTTTTTCAATATTTACACTGTGGGCCTCAGGGTAGGCCCAAGCAGTTCTTTTAAGCAAAAAAAAAAATCAAACTCACAACACAAAATAAATGTTTTCCCGCCCCCACCCCAGATCATTGTCTTATTATGCTGGCTTCTGGTTGCCAGTCTTTCTCCAAACAAGAGTTTGTTTCCCCTATAAGGAGGGGAGCAGCCTCCCATCTGGGAGAAACCTTTTCTCCCTGTTGTCCCTACCCTACTGCAGCTACTGCGCCCCTCCTGTCTGTGTGTCTCTCTCTCCCACCAGAAGAGGTGTTTCTAAAGGTCACTGGCAGCTCTTAATTGGTCTCTAATTAACCTGAGAACCTCTTTTCAGTTCATAGGGGAAAGGGCCTTCTCCATTCTATGGCTGATAAACCAGCCTCCCACTACTCTCTCATAGAGAGGATGTTGGCTCAGGGAGTTCTCTGCGACTGTGGGGCCTATTTCTGATTCTCCCTCTGTTCACACATTTGGGCAGAGCTCCTCTGGGATGTGTCCGCTGGCTCCTTGACATCTTCAAGGAGCAGTGGGCGCTGCTTGGGGTTTTCTGCTCAGTGTCCCCTTCAGGTTCCCTACTTTTGACCCTTTGACCCTCACACCCTTTGACCCTGTCCTTTTTTTCCTTCTGTTGTCCCCCCTGTATTTATTTGAGTCCCAGGCTCAGTGGATTCTCCTATAGCTGGGGGAGGGTCCTTTAGCCATGGGGCGGCTTGCACAAACCCACTTCCCCGGAACCCAACAGGACCACTCTCTCATAGCTGTCAGGTCTGACTTTGTCACACCGGATAAAAATATACCCAGTAGATCCAGGCAACCCAAAGTATCAGTCTAGGACCATAAGGCCAGCTGCTCTTCCTCTTCCCCTTGCTGAATTATGCCAAACACAATTTCAGATCCTGGCACAAGAATATACAAACTACTGCTTGCTTTGTTTCACATTTAACTTGAGAAATTTATGGACATGCCTTTGAGTAAAAATGCAGGGGATGATCCTTAGCTGTGACCATGAAGCCTCAACACAGTTGAGAAGTGGGGTGAGGAAAACGGAAACAATGACTTTAAGCCTCCTTTGCACTCCTCCAATACTAGGGCTACTTTCTGACGGGCCGGAAAACAAGCACAAACTGGAGCAATGAGAAGGCTGCTCCAGCTTGCACTGGCTGGATATTGCAGCCAGGAATCACTAGGGTGGAGGAATGCCCATACCTACAGGCCATGCCCTGTGTGCCAGTCACAAGCCTGTGGGAGGCACAGAAGTCCTTATAGCAGATCTACACCACCTAAATATCCCCTTTGCGTGGAAGAGCATGCTGTGACCAGTTAAGTCACTTTAGGTCAACTTTGTGCCAGTGGAGGGCAGGAGCTGGCATATATTATACAGGTATGGAGTTTAAATTAAGTCTTGTTTTGAATATCCTTCTTTTTTGATGTATTTAAAACAATCCCTGTTTTGAGACTATTCCTCAGAGTGTTAATGGAAATAGTTATTTAGCATTTATTTATATGTTCCAACTTTATAGCTAACATTCAGCTCGGTCTCCTTCATTAATGAGTGCTTTACACCTGCCAGTTAATTCCCCAAAAAAACAAAATGTACTTAAGTTACAGTCACACTTTCTAAGTGTAATTCAAGGGAAGAGCTACCATTAAACACAAGCATTACAAAAATTAATGGACAGATTCTGGTAGCCTTAATCATATTACTGTATGGCACTATTTGAAAAGTGTATGGAAATCAATTGCACTTTAAAGTTACATAAATAATAGGCATCAACAAGTTGCCAAACCTATTCCACATCAGAGGTCAGAGCTCATCTGCTTCCTGTTTGACTCCCCTCTCCCTGGTCCCTTTCAGGCCCCTCCATGTTCTACCCCAACTTCCAGTGGTTCTGAAAAAAAGTTAAGTGCTTATACTCAAAACTGTAAACGCCAATTGCATTTAATAAAATGTATTTGCCACACAATTAAAAATTAACCACTATGCATCTGATGGAGGCCTGCTATGTTCCGACAGATTTTCAGTCAACTTTTGTCACAAAACCAAAATTTTAAAAAACACTTTTATGGATGAATATGTACCAAAATCTACTGGCTTATCAATGTGGGGGTTGCTATTGCAAATGTTTTAAAATCTCAAAACACAAAATTTGTCACACAGGGATTCATATAATAGTAAGAGCTTCTTCCTGTAAAGTGCTGAGGTGAAGGGTGGTTAAAATGTGTTATTAAAAATCTAAATAAAGATTAACTCCAACCCATAGCTCCACTGTATATTTCATCTATATTTGTTTTGTAGATCTCTTACAGTTTGTATATCTGGAATTATATTGTTACCATTTTTGACTTGATCAATTAGCCTATATAAGGGTCTTGCAGATTGTTTCCATTCAGAGGAGAAATTGATGGAGTCAAGCTTTTTGTTTTATGCAATCCTGTTTATTTACCATAGGAATCAAACAAGAGGCGGCACTTCCATTGCTCATAGTTCTAAGCCTCTTTCCAGACAGCACTCTGCCCAAAAAACTTCTCTCTTGGCTCTCCCTCAGGGTCACATTGCACGTGCTTCATACGCTTTCTCTCTCTGCCTGTTCTCCAAGTGCTTTTGCTCATAAACATGCATACCCCCATCAAACAATATCCAACCCCCTGAGTACCCAGAAAGATGAAATGTGGAGCATAGAAAAAGATAGAAAATTAAACATTACAAGTCAAAATTCATTGAGTTTTCTTGCCCTTAAGTGGGAATAACCCAATTAGGGGAACATCTGGCCATATATGCCTTATGGATTTGTCTCCTTTCTACCATATGGATTTCCTGAATGGTACAAAGAATAAATAAAAAAATCTATTTAAGAAATATTAGTTTCTGTTCATTTTACAATACTCACCTCTGTTTTCTTCATGTTATTTCTTTGGCATAATAGTATTTTTTTTAAATCTCAAAACATACAAATATTCCCCACTTACCTGATGTCTCACTTTCTGCCCAGAGAGCAGCAGATCCAGACAACGTTCTCTGAAGCGGACTCCGGTTCCCCTGTTTGGACTGAAGATGGTCAATGAGAAATGGGATTGGCTGGTCAGGAGTCTCTGTTATCAGCTTGGTCATCAGTTCCTTAAAGAAATGGAAGGGGGGGGACAAAAAAAAAGAACACTTAGTGCAGCATTGTACCTTATATTGATCAAAAAATAAAGGCGTATTAATAACTGTAATTAATTAAGCCAGAGCCTAATGTCAACATTTGCAAGGAAAGTTTGAGTTGTCAGTCATGTTAAATTATTAACCATTACTAGTATTAACCTGTGGAGCATTCATATGTGTGTAATACTACTAGTTATTCAGAATGTCCTCTGGAATGATCCTGAGGACACTTGATCACATACACTTGAGCATGTCTGGTAATCCATACAGTGATACAGCCGCAATGATACAAGCATTCCAGTAAGACACACACATTTTGATTCTCTTTGCATGACTGCAAAGGAGGAGAAACATCATTGACCTTAATGTTATACCAATGTAAGACCAGAATCTGGCCCACAAACTCAACAGATCATATAGATTTTGTTACAGGAATGAAAATACCCAAGGCCCAATTTTCAGTACTGCTAAGCACCCACAGCTCCCACTGACTGTAGATGTGAGTAGTTGTGTGTGTTTTCACTGAGGAGCTTGCAAAATGAAATTTAGTTATACACAGCTGCATTTGCAAAATTTTCTCAGAGGATGCAACTTTCTGAATTAAAACTAGCTTCCAGTTTTAATGTAGTCTAACCCTAGGTATTCAGAGTTTTCCCAGTACATCATTATGCACTGCAAGGGCAGAAAGGGCAGGAAAAGGATTCTATACAATACCAGTCTCTGAAGAGCAGTCCCGTGCAGCAATGTTACATCCACCTTACGCAAAATGTGTGCTCCCTCAAGTTACAGCCGTAAAGCCATCTTTTTATACCTTACTTATTTACCACTACAAAGTACTGTATATATCACCTGAAACTGGATTCAATTTATCATATACAGAAATCACAGACATGGCTAATGAAAGGGAAAGACAGGACACATTATAATCCTGTATTGTACACTTTATAAATGAACACAGAGGTGCATCGTTCTGGCTCAATATTGTAAATAACCTCGACCCTTGTGGTCATGTATGTAATCTGTTTAAATCAGAAATGGAGGAAAAACAAAGTAAACAGGGGAGAGAAAAGGATTGAAAGGGCATGGCTATGCAAGGGCTCTATTTAACTTGCTTCGCTTTAAACAGTAGAATAAAAGATTTAATGGAAAACTTAAATACAGACAAGGAGCAGAACAGTCTCAAAACAGCAACTGGAGGGTGTTAATAGTTTGAAAACCTCCTTAGCATGTAACTTGTAAGATGCAAGAGATGCAGTCAAGGAATTTCAAATACAGTGTAGCCAGGAGAAAAGGGAAAAAGCTAAGTGGGTGCAGCAAGCACGAGATCTAAAGGGTGCTCACACTGTGGCACATAGCCAGTTAACTTCTATTTGCATTGGCGTGTCAACAGACTGAAAACAGAGAAAGCAATAGGCAGTGGGAGTACATATTCAGGTTTTTAAGTAGCAGGCAGCAATCCCCACTCTCCTTCTTGAGCCAGGTTAAAAACCAGATGTCTTGGTTTTCACCCCCCCTTCTCTAATCCATTGAGCCCAACTTCCCACTCAGAACTAACAATTTAACCTTTTTCAAATATTTTTCCATACAGGTCAATTTTTTTCCTTTATGTCCTCTCCCAATTTGTTAAACTCGTTGCTGCTGCCTGTACTTTAAAATTACCTCACAGAATTAATTAATTTCTCTTGGCTCATGTCTTCCTTACTTCCTGCACTGCTTTCTCCTCACTTCTGCCCTCTCTTTGTTTTAAAAGTTAAAGAAGTTATAAGCGCACACCTTTCCACGACAACTATCATTACCATACAGTACACACGGCAAGTTAACTCTGCCCTCCTTTTAGCCCTTCTGCACACACTCCTCTACTAGACTGTTTTCCCCAACATTAGTAGTTGTGGATGTTTGATGTAATAGTGCCTTGAGTTAGAAGAAGACAGTTTGGTAAAAGGGTACGTGAAGGAGGTCAATTGAAGGCTTGCACAGGTACATGGTAGAGCAAATTATTTGTATTCACTTCAAGGCCCTTTTATACAGCCAGAGTGGTGCAGAAGCTTAAGTGTGAGCAAAAAGAGCCCCAAACAGACTTCCTAGATGAAAAAAGACATTTCACTAAAGAAACCAAAATGGAGAAAACAGGTCTGGTTTCACAGCTTTTACAAAAAAAATTAAGAGGACTGTCCATGATCTGTTATTATTTGTTAATAAGAAGCCAATAGAGATATATTTGGTTTTGGAATAGAAATCCAGAGGAACAAGAGCAGCTGCTGAATGAGCAGTGATCACAAAAGGAACTGAACGTCGAAATAGCAGAACTTTGGTGAAAGTCCACCCAGAAAGTCTTCCAGCAGCATGTCCATGTGTCACAGGAAGGAAAGCCCATTTCACAGAAGAGGAAAAAGATTAAATGAGTCTCTCTACCCAGAAGGCAATATGCAAGTTAGAGCGCTTCATGGGTTTTCACTTGGAGATGGCACATCAGCCACAGCCACTTTTTTTTCCTGGTAAGATGAAGTATGGAAACTGGTAAATGAGGTGATGCAAAAACCTGTGCTGATACTCTGCACAGGAACCAGTTTCATCCTGTCTGAATGTCTAGAAAACAAAGTCAGAAGAGTTCCAGAAACAACAGACTTTTGCCTATACAGGTTAGTGAATGGGCTGCAACAACATCACGTGTTCTTAAAACAAGGAAATGAGAGGATTCTTGAACTACAGAGTCACCATAAACTGTTGGCTGGAAGGATCGACAAAATATACATGCTAAACTGTCTGAGGAGTTGAAGTTGACCTACCTCAATAATATAAAGAGATGGCATTACCAGCAGATTAAATTTCAAATAAGTATACAAAAAGGTCTATTTATGAAAGGCTACTATATTCCAGATTATGGGTAAAATATTTTTCTTTTGCCAAGGTATGTTTGTTGCAAGGGGTGGAGAAGAGAGGTTTCAGGGAGCGGTTTCTGGCTCACCAATTCTCAAGCTGCCCCAGCCTAGCTGTCAGAGCACTCTGGAGACTATTCACCAGCTGTGAATTGCCAGACTATAGAAGAGCTCGGGTTTGCCCTGCCTCTGAAACTCTGTATGCAGGGTAGAGAATGAAACTGGCATAAGAGTTATTCCCTGCGAGATGAGAATTCCGAACCACTGGGAATTTTCAGTTTGACAGTTGCAACTAGATCCCAGCTCTTTTACACCATTTAAGTGCTGTAAAGATGCTGTATTGCATAAGAGAATCTGGCTCAGTTCATGGATCAGATTCTCTAAGATTTAGACATTTTCATCTGCTATTTAGGTGATATCTTAATAGCAAAATATTGAAGAAAACACCTGAAAAACTTTAAAGTGGTTCTGAAAAGGTCACAAAAGTGGTTTACATTAAGAAAGGAATCAACTTGCTTATTGGTGGCACAGATGCATTAATTATCTGAAGTGTACATAATATATTACAATGACAAAATCCTTTTAGGATTGGTATGAATTTGGTCTGAGGTTTTGAAGAATTATGCATCCTTTGATAGAAATAGACACAATGTGCTAAGTAGACAACTATTCTCAAGTGGAAACAAAACAATTAAAACAACTGATCTCAACAAAACCTTTTCTGATTCAGTAGCATAGCTAGCAAATCACAAGATGATCCAAAACAATTTAAAGCTATTGAGTGAGATACATTTTGTGCTGTTACAATTAACCATTATACAGGCAAGCTTCAATAAGCTATTATATGCATAAGCAAACATATTATATGGTCACAGTTCCTGATAATTATCATCTATTTTATTTACTTTCAGTTCTAGCCCATATTATATAGAGGAACATTAACTTAATATTGCTAAAATGTGAGCATAAAGCTTATGCCAAAAAACTTGCTTCCATATTTTTTTTCAAGAGGCTATTTTATTTCCACCCTATCATCTTCAGCCTTGTCATCATGGAAACCCTCCCTCCAGCTGACGAGTGCTGTACAGAATGCCCTCTAGCTCTTGTTTACTTCATTCAAAGCATTTCCCACAAAGGGTCTAACAAGAGAAGCATGGAGGGACTCATTCAGCGGTCCCCCCAACTCATACCAATTGTGAAAGCAAAGACCAAATTTAGGACACAAATTAAGATTTCTCATACTTTTCAGTCGCTCTGGGTCTTCAGCGGCACTGAAGGACTTGCCGCTGAAGTGCTGCCGAAGGCCTGGAGCGAGTGAAGGACCCACCGCCGAAGTGCCGCCAAAGGCTGGGTGAATAAAAATTCTCAGGGGAGCTTCCCCAGCTGAGAGCTCAGGCGGGACAGAAAGGATGGACCCATGGGCCGCAGTTTGCCCACCCCTTTAACAACCAGTTCTAAACTGGCTTCAAAATTTAACAACCGTTCAGGTGAACCGGTGCGAACTGGCTCCAGCTCACCACTGCCCCCACACCACCCCCGCTCCATGGCAGAGGCTGATTACTGACTGGATGCTGCCAACTTTCCTTTTTGACCGCCCCCTGCCCTGCCCCTCCTCCAAGGCCCTGCCCATGCCATGCCCTTTCTCTAAGGCCCCGCCTCCTGTTCACTCCATCCCTCCTCACCATCACTTGCTCTCCCCACCCTCACTTACTTGCCCATTTTCACTGGGCTGGCTCAGAGAGTTGAGATGCAGGATGGGGGTGCGGGCTCTGAGGTGAGGCCAGAAATGAGGAGTTCAGGGTGCAGGAGGGGACTCCGGGCTGAGGCAGTGGGTTGGGATGCAGGAGGGGGTGTGGACTCCTGCTAGGGGTGTGGGCTCTGGGGTAGGGCCAGATATGAGGGGCTTGGGGTGCAAAAGGGGGCTCCAGGCCAGGGGGGGTGGAGCTGAGGGGTTCAGAGTATAGGAGGAGGCTCAGGGCTGAGGCAGGGGATTGGGGTGTGGAGGGAATAAAGGCTCTGGGCTGCGGGAGCAGGTTCTGGGGTGGGGCCAGAAATGAGGGGTTCAGGGTGTGGGCCCTAGGCTGGGACCGAGGGATT